ATAGTAGTTGTCATTTGATTGATCTTGCGCTAAAATTTTTCTACAGCAAAGCATAACCCAAGAGAGTAAGCATCTTAAATGTGACAGAATGATCAAAACACTGCTACCATCACCCAACCACTTCTGGTTTCACACCTGGTATGTGGTGCACTCTGGGCAAAACAGAAGCCTGACTTTACCCTCAGTTCACATGGTTAAGAGCTCATAGTTGACATGGATAAGAAAAGCCTGAAAGAATTCCTTGAGGAACATCTGTCAGATCTGATGTATTAACCTACAGGATGATAAGGACATGGGTAAGAGTTAGGGAACGTTCTATTGTTATAAGATTTGTAACTTACTTTTCCCTGTCATTGATTGAAAAATGTCTTCTCCAGATGTTTTATGGCAGTGAATACACAGGTCTCTACCATTCCATAATCAGTGTCAGTCCCTCAGTCGTGTCCGACTCCTTGTGACCCCCATGGCCTAGAGCCACCAGGCTCCTCTGCCCATGGGATTCTCCAGGCAAGGATACCGGAGTGGGTTGCTGTTTCCTTCTCCAGGGGATCTTCCCGACCCGGGGATCAAGCCCAGGTCCTGCACTGCGGGCATATTCTTTACTGTCTGAGCCGCGAGGGAAGCCCAATAATCAGAAGGTGAGGATAAAAAGTAGTTTGACAGAGCTGGAAATCAGTTTCAGAGTTATATATCATACCAGCCTTTGGGTTCTCCTAAAGTCATGTAACACTCCCTAGTCTGCAGTTTCTAGGCCAGAAAAACATACACTAAGTTACATTAATTCTGCTCTGTGCAGCTAGAATTACCAAAGATTTGGGGGGTATGTCTATTAGTATTCCCCAAAGAACAATTTCACAGAGTACTTTTAAATTATCTGAACAGAAGTTACCTTGAGGAGAATAAAGAAGACACAGTGATGTGTTCTCTTGATGAATCTCTTTCAGAAACGAATCCTCACCATCACGCTATTTTATGTTTTAAAATGGACCCTAGTTCTAGTATTCTGTTTTGTGTCCTCTTCAACAAACCACACTGAGGCTAGTTCTATAAACCACTCTGAAGTTAATCACAAAATATTTCTTGAAGAAGACATGTGCTTTATTTCAGAATAAACAAAACTTCAAATAAAATAGCAAGTGAAATAGAATATACATATTGCCATCACACAACCAATAATCTACTAAGAAGGTTCAAAATTCAAGGCCAAATATAGTAATAGTCATAAAAATGGCAACCATTTATTGAGCCTGTGTTCCTCTTACCAGTGTACTCAGCTAGCTTTTGATTTGCCAGTTATCACTGAAGGCCTGTGAGGGCAGAAACCATATTTTGTCTTTTTTATAGTTGTAACTTCAGGACCTAGTACAATGACTGATTTACAAAAGAAGCTCAGACAAATGCTGAATGAATTAAAGAGTGGAGGATGGATGGATGGATGGATGGTTTGCCTGAATCCAAACAAAATGATTTCCACTCATTTTAACAGGCTGTCTCTAAGGGAAAAAAATCCCAGAGATCTGAGCAGAGAGTCAAGATTATGCTATACCCCCTCTGCCAATTCTTAAACATAATGAGGGTCCTTTATCCTTTTCAGCACCTACGCCTTCTTAAAGCTGCAGGGACTCATGCTTTTACAGAGGCTAACCGCCGGCTAAGCCAGTCAGAGCATGGTCATCCTATCAGTACAATTCAGATGGCACATGAGGTCTTATTCAACTTTTAGTCAATTTTAAACAATCTTTTTTCCCCCCATTTGTTTTTATTAGTTGGAGGCTAATTACTTTATAATATTGTAGTGGTTTTTGCCATACATTGACATGAATCAGCCATGGATTTACATGTGCTCCCCATCCCGACCCCACCCCACCCTTTCCATCCCATCTGTCTGGGTCTTCCCAGTGCTTAAATTTTATAAATCCCATTCTACTTTCTTTCTAGATTTCAAGACTAGGCCTCTGACTTAAAAACAAACAACAAACAATCACTGGGGATTTTCAGCACCCTAAGCTGCTTAGTCTGCCCTTTGGTGAGCTCTGAACTTTGGTCCCCTGTTTATTTTACCTGTTTGAGGATTAGTCAGAAAGTAAGAGAATTCACTCAATTTTCTTTTTAGTGTTCCTTATTTACACCTCCTTCACAAACCCGAGCAACTCATTAGATAGGATATTTTACTTGGTTAATGAGTAGAGCAGCAGGGTCTTAGGTGAGGCTCTTCTGTGAGTGACAACAACCACAGTAACAAGTAAATCTGGGAAAACTAATAACTTTAAAAAAAAAAGAAAATACAAAGCTATCTGCAGGCTTTAGTGACCCTTTCTTGTCCTTGGTTGACAGTCACATTTAGTTGATTAGATCTCAAAAGACTGGGATGTAAGAAACAGGATCAACAGTCAAACACACTGGGTCTTTCTGGGGGTGGGTACAGGGGGTCGGAAAGGTGCTTGGAGGGGAGTTGTATTTATATTTATTATCCTTATTATTTTTCTGCTTCTCTTTCCCAGTCTCTCAAATATACTAAAGCAATTCTGAACATCATTTAATCTACACTTGATGATTTACGAGGGATCTTCCCAGGTCATGATCATAGAGCTCTACTCTTCACACACTGAAGTGCTGGTGATGGGGAAAGATAAATGGAGTGAGAGCTAGTTAACTTAACATGATGATGGACTAGCAAGCAGATATAAACAATGCACATAAAAATTCAGACTTTTTTATATTTCAAATCATATAATACTTAACAAAGCAAATTATGAGTAAAACACAAAGCCAGGCACACACACAAATCAGCTGAAAACAATAGGAAAGAGCTCAGGCTTTCATATGCTTCCTAAATGTTTTGAGAAAAAGCTAGGGTCCCGAGAGAGTTTTTATGTCTATAAATTTCTTTTTCTCTTCTAAATTACATTTAAATGAAACAAAAAAGAAAAAAAAAAACAATAATAAGCTTTGTTGGTAGGCCTATACCATTTTCATACATTCAAGGGGAGAAGGTAGTAAACAAAGTTTCTACAACTGTAAGTGATGCTTAGAGGAAAATTAAATCACTCAGCGATGCCAGGACTGATTATTCTACTGCACTTTAAAAGCCAGGGATTGCAGTCTGTGAGTCCAAAGTGGTTTCATATGGACTGCCACAGTTGTGGTTTACGCTTGAAACTATAACCTGTCAAATTAGAAGCAGGCAAGGACTATGCTCTTAACGGTTCCACTTTCTACTGTCTACAGTTTTGTCTACAAGTTCAGCATTTTTTATCCAGTTTAAGTTCTGTTATTTGGATGGATAGACTCTCAAAACTACTCTTTGTTATTTTGGTTAGAGATTTTAGTTATGATTCAAGGTTTGGAGAAGCTGGCAATCTTAACTTTTCTTGTACAAATGAAGCTGACTTTCACTGCAATTGTTTCTATCAACTATTGATACTTTATTATCCTGGTCACCACTATGCAATACATAATATAACTGTAGGGAAGAGAAATTTAAACCGTATGCACTCCCAAGCTATTTCTACCCTACGTTTCCAAATATTTGATTCATTTGAACTTGTACCTTACTGACTCATCAGTCTTCCAGGCCCACAGTAGCCTGCTATTATGAGCTTACTGTTACAACACGCTCCCTTTCTCTTCTTCTCCTTGATTGTGGAATGCCCTTCTGGGCAACAGGCTTGGTTGACAAGAGATTTTCCTGTCAAAATTGAAACAGCTACTTGTTCAATTTCACTAATGTTTTCTGTAGAGTCCTTCCTTAATAAATTCTTCTTAATGCCCATTTGTATAATGTAAAAATGTTTAAAAAATAAAGCATAAACAATATTTGCTCTCTGCGTAATGCATCATAAGTAAAACCATGCCACTAAACAATCATATCCTGTTTAGGCCATAATGACATCAGAAATATATGTTTATCATCTGCTTTGGACAACTGAGCATGTTTTTGGCCCAAGGCAAAGTTGAACTAAAATCATTTGCAGTTGCCTCAAACCAAGATAACCACACATTTCTAAGGTAATTGATACCTAAGAAGAACACTGCCTTTAGATCACAGCTCATGATCTAAGCATACTAATTCTTGAAAGAAGGCTGTTAAATTTTATAAAGCATGGATGTCTACTGGACTTCCTCCAAAATTTAACATGAAATAATTATATTTTTAGCATGCATAGAGACTATGATAAAGTCAGCACTTAGCACAATCTTTCAGAACTCTGGAATTACCTCTTGCCCAGTTTAAAGAGAAGGGGGAAAATGGAGGTTTGGTTTTTTTTTTTTTTTTCAAAAACCATGTAGAAGTATTATAAGAATAAGAACGATAAGAATAATGCCTTATATTTTGAAAGGCACTCAAATGAAATCAGTCACTACTTTTGTTTTTCCAAAGTATAATATTTAAGGAAACAATTTTATGAATAAATAGCTAGGGTAAATAGAAGGCATACAATTTTTCTTATCCATTGTTAAAACATGCCCAGGGAATACAAGCACTTGTCACTGACATTGTTTTACAACAATATAAAGCATGCAATTGCCCTGGGTACTACCTTAGCTGGTGAGGCCAATCATAGCCTGCAACTACAGGCTGAAAAATATAGCTCTTCATACCATATGTCAACACAAAAGCAGTAAGAATTAGTTTTGCCCACAAAGATAACTGGACGGTTTGGTACAAAAACTAAGTAAATTATTTAATTATAAACTAGCTTTTATGGAAGAAAATAATATCAGTAAAAGTAAAATCCAGAAGGAAGCTTAGGGAAATCTACTCATACTCAAAGGAGGAAACAAAGGAACAGGGGACTGAAGCTGTTTCCCAAAGTCAGCTATGAAGGCAGAGTTTGACATCCTTCCCAGGACTACTTCACTGCACAATGCTGCTTCATAAAACCACTGATTTGGACAATTCAGACAAACATTTAAAGAACACAAGAACAGAATAATCCAATATTATACACACTGCAATGGTTCTTCCATTACTCTAACAAGGGAAGCATGTACTATACCTCCATTCTTTCTTGTTTAACTTCATCAATTTCATCATCTTCAAACATTGCCAAGAGTTCTCCTGTTTGGTCAATAGAGTTGAGAAAGTCTTGAGCGATTTTTTGTCTTTTGTTTGCATTATTGCTGCCACTCAATTTGTCTTCATGAAGATAAAGGAAGGAAAAACAAAATATTCTTAAATAGGTTTACATCAGTCCTAACCATTTTAAGTATGGAATACTGCATATAAAATTCAAAAGTGGAATTCTCTCAAAATAATCTTCAAAAGGAGAACCTTTGTATCTAAAACAAAAGCATAAAGTCATACAGAATTGAATCACCCACTTATGTCATGAATAAGATTGAGAGAATAAAACCAAATAATCAATTACTACAGTAAGTATTTATGGATTGATTAAAATTTCTTACCAAAAAAAGAAAAAAAGAAGGGCTATCAGATTTGGAAAAAGAATCCTGCTATGGCAAGCCCAATTGAGAAAATAAATAAAAACAAACACATAAATAAAAGGCATTAGGATTGCAACTTGAAATTAAAAGAAGAAAATACTAGGTACATTACTATGATAATACATGTAAAATCTATGGGATGAGATTTTACTCTTTTTCTCATAAGAGACAAAACTATCATATTTACTTAAAAGCAAAACAAAACTCTGAGAAAGTTATTGCAAAAAGTCAGGAAGGAATGTAAGATGCAATACACAATTAGTACAGTTTAATACACAAAAGTATCAGTGTGAATTAGTGAGTAAGAACTGGATTATTTTTTAATGTGACAAATTACATACTCATATACCAAATAAAGGCAACCCTAACATCTTAGAGTGAGAAGAAAACTGTCATTCCCTGCTCCAATACAACTTCATTATCACCCACCTCATTTATGTTGCTACTATCAAATATACTACATATCTGTATGCTATAGACTCAACAGTACAATTATATATATTAATACAATTGCTAACACAGTTATATTTTCTTTTATATTTACTTACATAATTACCTTTATAGATATCCTCTGGGGTGTGTGGGTGGGTGGGTGGGTGTGTGGGGGGTGTGTGTGTATGTGTATGCATGTGGATTTAATTTCTACTTGTTTCTATTAATATAATTTCTATTTCGTAATTGGCATTCTCTATTTTGTGAGACACTATAACCATACCTTTCTTTTGTTATATTTACATAAGGTTTCCTTATATTTTTTTAACATATTTATCAGTTCAGTTTAGTCGCTCAGTCATGTCTGACTCTTTGCGACCCCATGGACTGCAGCATGCCAGGCTCCCCTGTTCATCACCAACTCCTGGAGCTTACTCAGACTCATGTCCATCGAGTTGGTGATGCCATCCAACCATCTCATCCTTTGATGTCCCCTTCCCCTCCTGCTTTCAGTCTTTCCCAGCATCAGAGTCTTTTCCAATAAGTCAGTTCTTCGCATCAGGTGGCCAAAGTATTGGAGTTTTTTATACTCCAAAATATTGAATGCATTTATAATAGCTATTTAAAGTTTTCATCTGTGAAGCCCAACATCTGGACCTCCTCAAAGGCATTTTGTCTTATCTGCTTATTCTTGTCCTTTTTATGGATCATATATATCTGTTTCTTTGCATGTCTAGTATTTTGTTGCTGTTGTTGATGAAAATGGGTATCTGGGGAAATGCACTAGAGCAGCTCTAGATGATAGTCCCCTTTTCTTCCTGTGGCTTGCTGTCATCATTCGCTTGTTTGTTTTGTTTGTTTGGTGACTTGGCTGGACTAGTTCAAATAAGTCCCTTTCCCTCTCAGTGTGCAACCTTCGATGTTGCTCTTCAGACGGCTCAGCCTTGAGCATGTGAGGAGCCTACTCCACCACCAGGAATGACTGTGGTTTTTAGCCACGTTCTCTTTTCCTGTCACTTTTCTCTCCATTAAGTTTCTGGCTGGTCTGACTCTATTTGTATCATACACAGCTGTTAGCTTCCACTAACTGCTGGCTGAGAGTTCTGCTGCTTCAATAATACTATTGGGCACAAATTGCTCCACAGACTGATCTAAATAATTTGGGTCACTTTGCAGAGTCAAGGGTGACCAGCCTATAAGTTTCGCTCTGACCCCAGGAGGGGGTCTTCTTAGCTACTGCTCTTCTTAGCTACTGCTTTCTTTTGTTAAACTTTAAGCTGGTGCACTGTTTTCTGTGTTGCTATTAGTATTAGAGTGACCAGCTTCCTCTTAATGGCTCACTACCAGAAGATCTCCATTGTTTTAAAACACTCTTAGTCAGGAACTTCCAAATGCTCTTTTCCAAAGAGTCAGTCCCTGCAGGAAGAGCGGCAGAGCTCTCTGCTATTAAGGCTCTCTCTTACTGGCTGAATCTTTGCACTTCTGTACTAGAGCTGGAGTTGGGAAGGGCAATCAGTACTTCAAGAAAGCCTGTCCTGGATCTAAGAGGGGGAACCTCGTTAGAGATGGCAGACTCCTGTCTTCAAGGCTTGTCTCTTCTTGTGTGAAGCTTTACTCCCTGTGAGCGTCCCTATTACTAGAGGATGAGTGACAGTCACAGTCCTTTCAGCTGTGCTTGCCTAGCATAGAAGTTCTGCAACACAGAGTTGGAGAAGATGAGAGATGCTGACCTCCTGCCCTTCCTGGGTTGAAACTGTCACCCTAGATTAGGGGGTAGGGAAGTAGATGCCCAGTGTTCTTGGACACATTTACCCAGAGTAAAGCTTCTATCATTTTGAGCTGGGGCATCACGGTAGGAAGGGAGGAGAGAAGTGATGAGAGTATTGTGGCTGTTGCACTGTGGCTCAAATGCAACAGATTCTCACTGTTCTTAATGAGATTTAGTAGACTGTTTCTGAATATGTTTCTCCATTTGCTGTCTGCCCTTAAGAACAGTTTCCAGAGATTTTAAACTATTATTTTTCTTTATGCTCATGAGTTAAATGTGTTTCTCTGTGCAAAGAGTCTACCACAGTCCTCACACGGCCTTTCTGGAAGACCCACTTCAGTAGTAAATGTATTTTACCTGAGTATTTTATTTTATAAATTGTATCAACTACATTGCACCCTTGAAGAACACAAGTTTGAAACATGTGTATCCACTTAAATATAAATTTTTTTTTCACTAAATGCATACTACATGACTCTACGTGGTTGGAGAATATGGGGACACAGAACAGTGTATATGAGGGCCAATTGTAAAGTTTTTGGCAAATTTAACTGTACAGACAGCTAAAACCCCTAACCTCCATATTGCTCAAGGGTCAACTGTATTTTAGAAGTTTATATAAGGCACACAAAATCAGAAAATTTAAATGATAAAGTGGAGAAGTTTGAAGTAAATTAAGGAGGAGAGGGCATCAAACTGGCATATGACAGCGTGAGTAAAACAGAATACTAGTCTGAGCTTCTTGGTGTTCAAAGCATCATATTAACAGCCATCATTGATTCACTGGCAGGAGTGTATCAGGTGCTTTTCATACGTCATGTTGAACTGTAATGGCCAGTAATATAATTTCTGGCTTTCAAATGAGAAAAGTGACCCTCAATGATGCTTTTAGAAAGAAAGCAGAGAACCGGGATTAATAGGAATTTAGGTCTGTTTGCTCCAAGTCTGTGTTTTTTATGCTCTCCATAAACGAAAGCATTTAAATTTATTTAGAGAACTATTTTGCAGGAGTTAAACTGTATGAGAACTGTAGGAATATGAAATAGACAATACTGATTAAATGTTTGATCAGTATTTTTTTTTGACACAGGTATTACTCTTGCGGATCTGTTGAGGATTAATGAAAGTAACTGGTTCTCTTTCAAAGTCAGTTAACTCTAGTTGGTTCTGAGCAATTTTCTGGAATTGTCCCTAATACAGTAGAGTTTGTTTAGCTACTTTGTCACTAGCAAAGGATACCACTATACAGTGACTATATTCAATACAAAGTACATAAGTTATTTCTAAAAACACAAACATTTATTCTGATTAGTAAGTATTATTTAGTAATTATGTGTTTTCAGCTTATCAGTATTTGATTTTTACAACATAAATATTTTTTCTAAATATCCTAAAACAGGGATTTAAGTTGGAAAATCAGCTTAGGAAAAATTCCCACTTTGTGTCAGATTTTTTGTTAGATTTCAAACAGCACAGAAATAATACAGTAAAATGATATGATTTTACATTATAAAATATATCAGATACTTTCTATAATAAATTAACAAAAAACCATACGTGTCAATTTCAAAGATATAATAGTTCAGGCTCCCTATATTCACAACAGAAACATTATGTTTGCTAAAATCAATTATGTTTTAACTTGACATAATTTTCTCAGTTTCATGATATTCTGATGTAAAGCAGGTTATTTTATTAAAAGAAGAATTAAAATAACAGATTATTCTGAAGTCACACAATTGGAAAATCACAAGATTTAAGTACCAACTATATAAATATTTGGACAGTTACTAAACTACATATTTAACAGAAGGACAAATATTGAACTCTGATAGGAGTTATCTACGTTGACGCTATATAAATGTGTCATCGGCATACAGGTGTCACATAAGTTTTAGTTTAGTGCTTTAAGTTACCTTCCAGAAGATCATCCTCGTCAATGCCTTTGACAATCTTTGATTTGTAGTCTCGGAAAAACATGTATTTTAGCAGTCTTCTAAGTTTCTTCTATTAAAAATATGAAATAAGTAAATAAGAAACCTTACACATACATTCATTTTAATGATTAAAAACTACTATGATAACTAAATCCCCTTTATGAATCACAGCCTTGTCATGGTGAAGGGGCTTGTGTAACTCAATGAAGCCATGCCATGTAGGGCCATACAAGATACAGAGGTCATAGTGGAGAGTTCTGACAAAACGTGGTCCACTGGAGGAGGGAAGAGCAACCCATTCCAGTATTCTTGCCAAGAGAACCCCATGAACAGTATGAAAAGGTAAAAAGATATGACACCGGGAGATGAGCCTCCCAGGTCGGAAGGTATCCAATATGCTACTGGGGAAGAGCGAAGGGCAATTACTAAGAGTTCCAGAAAGAATGAAGCAGCTGGGTCAAAGTGGAAATGATGCTCAGTTGTGGATGTGTCTGGGGGCGAAAGTAAAATCCGATGCTGTAAAGAAAAGGTCAGGGGAGCATGGCGTGCTACAGTCAATGGGGTTGCAAAGAGTCAGACACAACTTAGTGAATAAACAACAGCAACAAGAACAGCAATAACTAAATATAATAAACTTTTACCCCAGGACCACTGGAAAAATACAGCAATTCTTAGCATAATACTATGAATACAAAATTTAGTCATCAAATTAAACATAAAAACTACAACACAAGCATTTTTAAAAGCACATTTGATTTGAAAGTATTCAGATACTGCAGAATCACAATTAATTTTGCTTTTTTCTGGGTTTTTTTTTTTTTGCTGTTGTTAAATTCCTTCTAAGATTGCGATAAATATCACACTCTCCACACTAAGCTGACAATACTGTCTTTGTGGAATTCTGTATACCTTCAAGACCAAATTTCATTTTTTGAAATGATTTATAAACACCTATATAAAAGTCTGCAACAACTGTTTTAAGAAGTCAAGCACTTTCCTTTTTTATTTTGTTTAATTCCCTGAGAATCTTTTATTTAGAAGAGTTGGTTTATATTTTATATTTCTGGAAAACATCCTGTAATCTGAGAAACATATTTTTTATGAAATTCAAAGCTGGTGAATGATAGTTGAGGCTTTTTTAGGTTTATTAGAAGACTACAATACTGCCTAACTTTAAAAGTAACTGATGTGTGTGCATGCTCAGTTGTGTCTGACTATTTGCGACACCATGGACTATAGCCTGCCAGTCTCCTCTATCCATGGGATTTTCCAGGCAAGAACACAGAATTGGTTGCCAGTTGTATGCTTACACTTAAGAGTAGATGATTACTGGTTTCTGGTCTTCAGGTTTAAGATTCCTAATGACAGCTGAAACATATTTTACAAAGCTCTTTTACATGCATTTTATTTGATATTTTTGATAGCCCTGAGATACAGACCAACATAATCATCTTTTCTTATATATAGGGAAACTGAGGTTCAAGATAGTTTCACAATTAGAGCCTAGCAGGGCCAGAAGGAACACATAACCTTTGAACCTCAGTCTCCTTGTTTACAGGTAAGTAAAGTACTTACATTAGAGGAATATTGTGAGAAATAAATCAGAAAATGAGTGAAGCTGTCTAGTGAAGTATATAAAATACAGTGGGCAGTCAACAACTTCTACTTGAATATAAACCGGAATTATTAAGAGAAAAAACATATACCTGGATCCAGGTCTTTGCTATCCCTCCTTTCTATTTGCTATGATTCCATTCAGTACTTTAGATTTGATTTTGTCTTACATTACAGTTGTGTAAACTAATTTAAATTCTGTTTGGAACATGTCAGCATATAAATAAAATTATTATTTTGAGGAGAAAGATGAGAAGACTGGCAACTATCATATTACAGCTATGTTCCTGGTTGCTTAAAAGATTCTGATTAAGAGTCCTTCTGGCCAGTACAAGGGCTTTGACAATTGGTGTATGTTCCTGAAGGGTCCACAGGATTTAAAATATTGACTCCTCCAAGAGGCAGGAAAAAGTGTCGATGTGGACTACTTTTTGTGCTGGCCTGTTTACCTCTGTTGATGAAAAAGAAAAACTGACTGGAGGAATTCTGCAAAGGACTGATGCTAACTGCACTGTTACCCAGCTGTCTTCATAAAGAACTTGGCTCACAGTCTCTGCTTTCCAAGGGCACGTTCAGGCTCCTTCCTCTCAGCACCACTTGCTGCATGGCGCCTACTTCTGCTTCATCTTCCTAGTGAGGTCACTAGCTCCTCAATAGCCTTACTCTTCACTATCTCGCTAAAACCTTCCTTCCTATTCACTTCCAGAGCCATCATACTGATCATGGTTTGCCTTGATTACTAAGCCTGCACCCTGGTTAGTTCCATTCTAATATAATTGCATGAATTTCAACCTAGGCAGAAAACCTCCACTCCACCACATTCTACAGACTCTCCATCTAATCACACAACCTTAAAATACTGTGCGTCTCAAAATGCTTCTTCAACTCAATGATACAGATTTCTTAAACCAGATTATAGCTTCTTGATAGTAAAGACATTTCTTTTCTCTTTATAGTCCTCATACCACATAAGAGTCAATGAACTAAAAATTCATAAAATTTCATGGTAGACTGGTGTAGGTACAGTTTGTATATCCTACTGCATAAAAAAGAGAAAATCCTTCATCCAAGTTTAGTCAACCTTCAATCAATCAGAAGGAAAGGTTTTTATGAATACAAAGTAATGGGTATCAGAAAGGTATGTTCACAGGATATCCTGAAGATCAGATGGGATGCCTTCTGATAAAAACCTGAGCCACAAACATACAAAAATTGTGGAAGAAAAATGGGTGAGTATAATTAAAAGACCAGGGGAAAACAATGGAGAAATGAAAGATGGACCATCAGGAACTAAGCAGTGGGTGCTCATCTGGGTTAGCAACTACCATAACACGCTGTGGTTACTCAGCTTGTTTTTCCACATGTAACGACCTTTTAGATGAAAACTGTACTAAAAACATGCAGAAAGTCACAAAGTGTTTTCAACTAGCTACTCATGGGAGATAGTTATGACAAAATTATATGCTTAAATAGCTTAATATCAGCGTTCAAAGATAGATCTCTAGCAAATAAAAAAACCTAAGTAATAGAGTATATATTTTATGCTATTGCAATATTCATCTTGATTGATTTGCCTTTTCCTATTAAACAGTGTCACAGAAAAAACTTTGTATTTCAAGTGAAAAACTACTCTATGAATGTCTACAATCCTGTATAAAATTAGAAAAATAAATATGTCATTTAGTTATATCCCAGTTACCAGAACAAAGCACCCAGTCAAGATCTAGTGAATTTTATGTAGCAATGAAAATGTCTAAATAGATATGTAAGGATAAGTGAGAATTAGTTGTCAGCAGTTTTACATAAGTGCCGTTGTCCATGTAAAAATTAAAAAAAAAATCAATTCTGTTGTAGTAAACCATTGTGTTGTGCAAACTGTGAGAACCCAAACATGAGTTCAACACTTATGATTCCAATATGAAAGCCATATAACAAGGGTAGCTTCCTTATATAAGTGTAATTAAACACAAAGTATGGCATTTCAATACAGTGAAATTATTTTACATTACCTTATCCTTGCGCATCAAAAACAGAAGATCTTCAGCAGAAATTACTCTTGCTCCCCGAAGCTGAGAAACTTCAGCAGCTTGCTGTAACTAACAACAAAGGAAATTTTTCTTAATCATCTAAATTAAATATACTACAGTCATGATGTCTCAAGAGAGATAAATATAGTAAGAGTTAAAAATCTTTGGGGATCACCCAGCAATCACATTACTGCTTTAAAAAGCAAAATGTCTTATGTTTAAAGATATAAAAAAAATGCAATTAACTTATACGCCCACCTGTAACTGATACAATAAACAGAAATCCTTGATTTCTTTCATGCAAAAGAAAAATCAAGTGCAGCTTCCAGAAATGCATTAATGCACCTGAAAATAATTTTATGAAATTTTATCCTCATATCCATGTGAGCAATGGTTTTGCTCAGTATCACTAGTTGAATAACTATATTATTAATCTGAGCTCCCATGCTGGTATGATTTGAAATAGGCCCATTCAGAACTTTAAAAGATCAACAAAAACAGTAGCTGTTTCTAATATCCAAAGGAAAAAAAAATAGTTTTAGTTTTGGCAAGTCTTCAGTGGGCAAAGGATTCAGTCCATAAATCATAATACTGGACTGCATTAATTTCTTTCCACACTAATCACATACACACAAAAAGTTAACTGTATCTGGAATGCACAACACAAAACATACTGCATGAAAAGTTACATTCCCCCTGAAATGTTCATCTGGGCCCTTCTATCTACAAAGTTGAGAGTTTTCTGGAATTCAGAAGTCCCAGAAACACAATCTTACTTGAAAATGACCTGGAAAATAAAAGAATGTGAAAAATGATAGTTCTATTTTTTTGGCACAGGCAAAACCAGTTTCTTATTTTGATTAGTTAGAAGGAATATAAAATACATCCAGCTGAAAAAAATAAAGATGCTGGAGAAAACAGTACAAAAATGTGCCTGTAACTTCTTCCAAATTTGATCAATGGTGATTGCAGCAAACCAACTCTATCCAATATTATAAAAATATTTACATACAAAAGCTGTTCCTGAATGCATCTTTCTTTGAAAGGAATAAATCTAACACATATTCCTAAGAACTAATCTTTAAAAAGTGACACACTGTTATCTTAACAATTACAAATAAATCAAATAGTGCGTTTGTACTAAAGAAATTCTGGATGTTCAAGCAATTTTGCTAAGTAAGCTTCAAACCTCGTCTAAATACACAGGCCATGAAACAGACTATAAACTCCCTATGTGTCAGCCTTACCGCTGAATTTCCTGGATACTGGTGGTTGGTATATAAACATAATTCTACCTAAATATAGAAATTTAAATTTAACTGAGAACCATTTAAAAAGAAATCTTGGGGGAAAGGTTTTTAAAAAGATGATATATCTGCCCAGAAAGAAACTAAGTTTTCACTAGGAAAAATGTGAACATATTTTTCTAAAAATTGGAAGAATGTCAGCGAAATACGTGTGCATGTGTTTTTTTTTTCAAACAAAAACATTTCTGTCACAGCATAAAACACACACAATCAATGTGGAGCAGAATATAGACTCAGTATCCATTTGTCTGGACACATACAGAGAAGTGGAAGGCCACACTATCAGGTAACATTTTTATTTTCTCAGACGAAGGATGGTATTGATTTGAAAACTTGAAAATACTACATAGATATAAGCAATTTTTTCTCATGTTAAGATCAGGATAAGTATACATCCCTAAGTAGTCTTCCCAATAAATCAACTGTTTATCTACCCTACATATAAATAATCTGTATTTATAACACTCTCCAAAATGTTAGTTTACAAATGCACTCAACTAGGGAAAATAAAGAAAATGGAAAACAAAGACTTAGAAGAGTCAGCCATTTTAAACACCCTTTTAAAACCAGTACACAACTATCAGGGGATCTGGAATTTATGTCTTGGTTATGTTGTCATAATTAGCAGGAAAACTTTATCTTTAGTTTTTGTCTACCTTATTTGCTTATTTCCCTCACCTAACCTGTACTCTCACTAGCACTGGCTCTGCTGGTCACCTGAACTAGTACCCTCACTAGCACTGGCTCTGCCGGTCACCTAACCTGTACCCTCACTAGCACTGGCTCTGCCGGTCACCTAACCTGTACCCTCACTAGCACTGGCTCTGCCGGTCACATAACCTAGTATCCTCACTAGCACCGGCTCTGCTGGTCACATAACCTAGTACCCTCACTAGCACTGGCTCTGCTGGTCACCTGAACTAGTACCCTCACAAGCACCAGCTCTGCTGGTCACCTGAACTAGTACCCTCACTAGCACTGGCTTTGCTGGTCACCTGAACTAGTACCCTCACAAGCACCGGCTCTGCTGGTCACCTAACCTAGTACCCTCACTAGCACCGGCTCTGCTGGTCACATAACCTAGTACCCTCACTAGCACTGGCTCTGCTGGTCACCTAACCTAGTACCCTCACTAGCACTGGCTCTGCTGGTCACCTGAACTAGTACCCTCACTAGCACTGGCTTTGCTGGTCACCTGAACTAGTACCCTCACAAGCACTGGCTCTGCTGGTCACCTAACCTAGTACCCTCACTAGCACTGGCTCTGCTGGTCACCTAACCTAGTACCCTCACTAGCACTGGCTCTGCTGGTACTCTACAAGAAGCCTTGAACCTCATGAAGTGAGTCCTCTGGCTGAAAGTTATCACTGTGTTACTGCAATAAGCCCATCTGACCCCGACCTGTCCCAGACTCCAAAATAACCTCGGCCACAGTCTTACCTCCTTTTCTCTACAGACTAAGGAGAGCAAGCTTGTTAACTAATGACAGTGTTCGCACTAAAGTGTGTACTGCCCACTGGCTAACTTCAAGAAATTTTACGAGAAAGAGTAAAGCTCCTCTTCAGCAACACAAGCTTAAAAAGCAAGTCGGCAGGAGGCTGGTTCAGTTCCACCGAACACTGAACTCAGGGATCAGGTGCATTTAGTGTGAAAACAATACTAGAAACAGGAAACCAAATCACAAAATATTTCTAATACCTTCAGTGTCCAAAAAACAATGCTGATTCTGTATGGTAAGAATCCCTTAATTTTTTTCCTTGAAAATACATGGAAGTTGTATTCATCATTCACTGTGGCAAGTCAAATATTTCTGGCAGTATTGAAAATGACACGATAGTCCATTTTATGATTTTTTTATTACAATGAAAGTAGCATACATTTGTGAAGAAGGCAATGGCACCCCACTCCTGTACTCTTGCCTGGAAAATCCCGTGGGCTGCAGTCCATGGGGTCGCTAAGAGTCTGACACGCCTGAGCAACTTCACTTTCACTTTTTACTTTCATGCATTGGAGAAGGAAATGGCAACCCACTCCAGTGTTCTTGCCTGGAGAATCCCAGGGACGGGGAGCCTGGTGGGCTTCCATCTATGGGGTCGCAGAGTCGGACACTACTGAAGCGACTTAGCAGCAGCAGCAGCAGCATACATTTAATTGCATTATAAAATATACAAGAATTGACAGAGCAGAGGAATATTTTAAGACCAATAACTAGTTGAATGAGTATACAGAATAAACTTTAACTATATAGATAAACAGATGGTGACAGGAATTTTATAGAGATTTATTTGTAACTCAGTAAAATATGTTGCTAAAAGATATTATTCTGCAATAGCAACTCATTTAAAGCATTGATTTTTTTTCCTGATAAATATTATTTCTGTTCTTTAGCGTAAACTAAAAATAATATATACTTCGCTGTTATTTACAGGCTGAGCATAAACTTTAAACTTTACATGACATCTTAAAATGCCTCATCTTTGATCCCACAAATAAATCTCTTCTCAACTTCTCATTGCCATCAATGATGCTAACACTGGAAAATTCTTTCTCACTCTATTTTATTTTCACCAACTTCCACTGATTTTATTGTTTTAACTGGCTTGGGGTCTTAATTTGCTGTCTACTTCCACAGTATTCATCTGAACCTAGGTCTCTGGGGTTATTGCTTTGTTGTTTAAAGTCATGTTCATCTCTTTGCGACCCCATGGAATGTAGCCTTACCGGCTCCTCTGTCCATAGGATTTCCCACGCAAGAAGACGAGTGCATTGCCATTTCCTTCTCCAGGGGATCTTCCCAACCCATGTCTCCTGCATTGCAGGCAAATTCTTTACCGTTGAGCCACCAGGAAAACCCTGGAGTTTTTGCTTATTGCTTTCTAAACTTCAGTGTCTCCAAATGGTGATGTAGCTTAGATTTAAGTGTTAACATGATCTTCCTCAAATATCATATCCACAACTCCTGTTCCAGGATCTATGATAATCCACTGTTATCTGACTTCAATGTGGTTTATAAAGATCAACTCATAGACATTTCCTATACTTAACATCTTATTAAATTTGTTTTTCTGTCATATTTTTCTACATTTATTCTCCAGTAAGTTCTGTTCTGTCTTTATGTCTTTGTGCACTTGTGACAATTTGTTTTATGTGTCAACCTGACTGGGCTACAGTGTGTCCAGACAATTGTTCAAATATTCTGAGTGTGACTGTGAGGATATTCCTGGATGAGATTAATATCTGAATTCCTAGGCTGAGGAAAGCAGATTGCCACTCCCCTCCACCAGCCCCTGCTAATGTTAGTGAACCTCAACCAATCAGTTGAAGAGGGATCTCCTTCTGCTTAACTGCCTTAAACTGGGACTTAGATCTTTTCTAGCCTTTTGACTTGGACTAAAATAGCTCCTGTTTCTCAGGCTTTTGGACTTGAACTGCAGTCTACTTCTCCTGGGTCTCTGACTTGCCAACAATGGAACTTGGGATTCTTAGCCTCCATAGTCATGTGAGCCAATTCCTTATAATAAATCTATGTACGCACACACATACACACATATATACATGTAACCTACTGGTTCTGTTTTTTCTGGAGAATCCTAGTATAATATTATACTCAAATTATAAGAAATTCTTGATTATTTATGGGATACAATTTCATTGTTTTTGTTTTTCCTCAGAGACTCATCTGGAGTCTGCCAGATTCTCTTCAACAGTTACATTCTGGATTTTTGTTCTCTTGATCTCTTTTGTTCTTAATTTACTTTTCTT